CTGGTGATAAAACGCAATCACTTCTCTATAAATACCAGGAATGCTAAATTATGCATCCATATTAGCGTTTTTTGGGGTTAGATTGCGTAAATATATAAATGTGTTGTTAAACCCGCCACCACCCGACAGCCAACTAGTAAGGGTTGTCACGTAAACAGAACGTGCCAATTCGTCACTAGTACAGCCCACTGGTGTATTGGAGAGCAAAGACACAACATTTACAATCTGAGTACGACGTTTCGCCAGTAATTACAACTAGCTTCATCAGGCGACAGCCAGATTTGTAGAGAAGCCCACCTGTTTCGTTCCTTATATAGAGGCGTAGATGTGGTGACCACACGGCATGTGCATTATGCGAGCCCATTGATCTTGTCCCCCTTGTCCATTGTGGGTATTAAAATAGCAGTGCCAACGGTAATCCCTATTGAAGTCTGGTGGCCTGTGTAGGCATGCATTTAGACAATGTATTATTTGATTATTCGATTCCACGCAGCACTAAGGCGGTAGCTATCCAGAAAGGTTTAAATAATTTGTATTTCTTTCAATTTGGATAGATTCATTCATTAGTCTTGGCCAGTAGTAGCTGGTTTTGCACAGAACTTCAACATTATCAACATCAATTCGGTGTCCTCGTTGGAACGCGTGTTCTGCTACTGCTGACAGTTGTATTTGGGAGTTTAATATTTCTCTGATGTTCTTTTAGTTGCGTACTGATCATTCATCCTGTTTGCCCAATATGGCATTTGCCACAAGTGCAGTTAATCCTGTGCACACCTGTTGATAGCTTCGCTAATACATCTTTTGTACCAGATATTAATTTCTGTATTTTATGTAGCGTGCCAAATCTGACTCGGATGTTTTGTTTTTCCAAACACCTGGCTAGTTTATCAGTTACTCCCGCAATGTGCGGTATTTTGATCGTTTTAATTACTTTGGCACTTTCAATGCTTGTGTTATTTGATCTGGTTTTTATTTAGTTTTTACATTCATTGCTCTGATATTGGTCGCAAAAGTCTACGTGTTTAACCAAAATTATTCATATTACCGGATAATAAAACATTTATTTTAACGCACCTATTAGTTTTTTTTTTTAGAGGGGCATTCAGATCTTAGGGTTTGGGTAGTTTTATCAAGGTAGTTTACCTAACTTCATTTAAAAAAAAGAAATATCATGAGTAAAATATTAATTAATTTCCGAAACAAAAGGTATAAACATTGTTACTAATTCTGGATCAACCTGCATTGGCATCAGCGCACGGACCACCTGGAGGGTCGTTGCGGACCGCTGGTGGCCCAGGGGTCTAACAGGTAGCAAAGCATTGGCAGACAACACGTAGCTGGTCAACCCCTTGTCAGTGCCTATCTTATTACAGACCAATTCAGACCTTATTGGTCACTCTGTACCCTTATACATCTCAATGTTCATCATACAAAGTCCCATCACAAGGGATGGGAAATACAAACTAATATACAAAACAAAACGTTTTTTGTATTGAAACAGCTTTACGCCGTATGGACTTGGAAACTCTATTTCCCTGTACAAGAATACGGGTAAACAGTATGGGTTGACAGGTATGACATTATGCCCCGTTTATGTGTCTGTCCCTACACGTTAAAATTTAATACAATTTTTACACATCCAATTAGCCACACGGCCTTCTGGGAGTAGGGTCTGTATGATATACTCTTTGGTTCTTTTGGTAAAGTCACGTAGGTAGAAAAATAATAGATCACGACGTTTCGATCGCAACACAAGCAATCATCATCAGGTGGGACAACCACAGCAAGAGCAAACTGCTGAAGTAGTTTTTATTATTTAGTTTGCATCAAAATAGGACTCATCTAATAGAGATGGTCCTTACATACAAAAATCCGGCAGTAAACCAGAATTTGTAGAAGCTCGCCTGACTCTGCTGAAGAGACAATAAATATCACAAATGGTCCAGAGTTTTTATTAAACCAATAGTGCTGAATGCATGCACCCTCAGAAGGCTGTGCGGCCAATGGGATGTGTAAATATGTACATTAATAGTTTAGTAAAGAGACAAATATGTGAAGGAGTCCTGTTGTATTGTCCTCTCATCTACTTTGTCTGATTTAGTTGGTAGTTCATTAATCACCTAAATATGCCGAGTGTGCATTGTAGAGTTGTACGGTTTTGGCATCAAACCCGACTGAGTTGGATGTTGCCTTCCTTGATTACGATCAGAACGAGAATGGCGAAGTCTGTGGTCCACTCCTAGTGAGCACGCTCGTGTGAGCATGGCGATTGCCTCCACATGACCGCGTGCTATCCCTGCATGCGTGGTTCTATGGTAACACTCAGCCCTGAGCAGGACACGGACACTGTCACCGTGACACATGGGTCGACAAGCCGAACCACAATTGCTCACTGCATGAACCTCCAATTTAAATAGACCTTGCGGGATATTTGGCCAGGCAGCTCGGCGTTAGATCGAGCGGCATGTAATCGGAAGGTCGTAAGTTCAAATCCTGGTTGGGGGTTGAATTAGCCCATCGACCCTTTGAGGTCGATAAAATAGCTACAAGTTTATGGGGAAGTCGACAGTTTGTCCTATGCCCTTGCCATAGGAATGCAGAATTTCCACCGCTGAGCTAATTTGAGCAGGAAATCGCTTATAGTTTGGCTTTTTACTCTGTATTCCGTAATATGAAACTCCTATATATCAAAACTAAAAGTTACGAGCGAGCGGCGCACCGTAAATGTCGCGAGCAGACTGTGGCCGCAACTCGTCGAGGCGTGTGTGCAGGAAGGAGTCTGCAAAGGGCTCTTGATTGTTGCCATATGCCTCCTCCCTGGAGAGCCCTGCTCTAAATCCTGGACAACAATAGGAGGACGACCGCGTCACAGCTGACATCCGTGCAGATGCGGCGCGCTCGCGTCTTGTTGTGGCCGTTGTGAAAACTTCACAACAGACAGCTCAGGCGAGGTGTGGCGGTACCACTTAACTTTGTGTGCACAGCTGGGCGCAGTATTTGTGTGTTGATACAGGGAATGGCGTTTGGATAATTCTGTGCATGGTTCCTCATTGGAGGATCTGCCCTATTAATAAAATCGGCGTTCTTCGTCTAATCCAGGCCACATGTTCACCGCAGACTCTTGGTGCGGTACAGTAACCAGACTCCCATTGGCTCCGTCTGAAAATTGCTTCTCTGATTTCTCTCCTTGTGTGGTGCCTGAGGTGGACTCGTCGTCCACCTCGTGTGATTCATTTGCTTTGAACATAAACATTTTTATTTTGTCAGTCAGATTTGTTTATAAATAAGCTTATAAACTAGTACGTAATTAGAGTTGCACAATTGTCTATTACATGATTTGAATTGAGGTAGTGCAGTGGTCTAGTTTTTTGTGCACTGCTCTATGAACTCCACAACCTGAGTTTGATACCCAGCCATGGTTGACATTGTTATCCAGTGATATCTGAACCAGTTGTGGGCCCTCTCCCTTCATCATCCTGCACTAACCGCCATAGTGAAGTATGGCCAAACAACTCCCTTCAACAACAATGTGTGCGGAGGCCTTCAGAATTGAGCACTGGAGATCGATATTTTTAGTGAACATAATTGTGCCGATACTCATTCTTTTGAAACGGTGTTGGAGTGCGGAGGGTTTCCCGATGCGTTTCCCACGCCGATGTCTGTGTTGGGCTCTGGGAATGAAGAACGCTGCTCCCTCTGCTTAGTCACAGCAGTGCTCGTTCATGTCCCGGGCAGATGCCAAGCTCTTATAACAACAATAATAATAATAACCTTGGTCGATTCAAGAAACGTGTTACACTCTTGTCTATTACAAATTTGATAGTTTAGTTTGTTTGACATTTTTCTTCTTTGGGCCTGTATCTCAGCAAATGTTGGGTTTAAAAAATAAAAATGCACGGCTGTGTGAGCGGCATCTCTCTTTCTGCCGAGTGGCGCAGCGCTTTGCGGTGGGCACCCTATCTTTAGACATGAACGGGAATATCATGAACATGTCACTGTTTGTCAACATTCTCTTCATCATTGTCTATGCACTTGTACCAATTTGGAAGCAAGGCCAGCATTTGTTATCAGCGTCCTACACGTGATGATTCCCACATAGGGCATCATTCATAGGGCTGCATAAATGACGATCCCAGAGTGCCAGGTCTGATCTCAAAGGTGGATGGGGGAGCAGGGTCCACCCGCACGGTGCAATGGCTTTTGGTGTTCTCAGGCTCATGTCCGATCCGCTTCGCTCTGATCTAGCAGATCTGCGCGGGCAGGTGGAGCGCCGCGAGCGTCGCGTGCGAGGCTCGCCTGACTCGTAAGCGCTTCCCCTGACCGCGGTCCCGCTGAGTGATAAGGGGATTGCGGGCGCGGTCTCCTGTTGTTGGCACGAGATCATAGTTGTGGTCATAAATGCTTTCTGAAATATGACCAAACAACCGTTGGTCTCTTCGAAGCCATAACAGGGGGCAGGGCAAGATACTGGCTTTGATGTGTTGGGAGTAGAGCTTCAGCTCGGCTTTGTTTGTGAGATAACAGTGGCTGTAAAAAGACATCATCCACTGTGTTTAGAGGGAAATTGTCTGTGTAGTGAATGTGAGTGTGTGTAATGAATGTGTGTGTGTGTATTTTGTGAATTTAGATATATAGCAATACAGTCTATAAACAACTTGTCATGTGGCTCAGTGGTAGAGCGACCAGCTAACAATGGGAAGGTTGTGAGTTCAATACTGAACTGAATGGGTCTTTACTCAGCCCTTCATCTCTCAGGGGTCAAGGGATATGAGTACCACTTTGTGCTGAAGACAACAGCAGTTGTCCTTTGGATAGACTCGCTCCCACCATATGAACATGGAAGCAAGAAATTGTGTGCCGTGCCGGCCTTCATACGTGCTCGCTGAGAACACTTGCCCAGCAGTCTGTTAAAGGCTGCACGGAGGATCTTTGTGTGTGCTCCCGTGTGTGGATGGGGATGTTGAGTTTTACGTAGTGGATGTGACTGTGCGTGCGTGCAGCTGATCGCCATCTACGAGGAGCAGGAGCCCCAGCCGGGCGGCGGCGGCGACTGCACAAGCACCAGCTCCACGGGCACGCAGAGCCCTGACATGTTCGGCAGCGAGGTGGAGCCGCCGGGCCACGCCGCCGCCACCGCGGCCTTCAACGAGATCGAGGTCACACCCTCGGCCCTCCGAGCCAGTGAGTCCCCCCTCTCTAGCGGCTCTGCTCTGTCAGGGAGAACTCGACACGGCTTTTCCTCCGCAGTCGAAGACGACTGCCTCACTGGCCTCCTGTACACTATTAGATGCCTCCTCTCACGTCACTCAACAGCTGTCGATTTACTGCAACAGTAACTCTGCTCTCCGCTCACAAGATCATCCTCACAGTGTCGCTGTTCCTGGAGTAAAAACCCAAACAGGCTCAACTCTCACTCAGACACGGAGCTGCCTCAACGTGGAACGATCTCACGGACACTCAAGCACGCTGCCCGTCTCAACTCATCTCAATCTTCGTTTTAATCTCCCTCGCACAACATTCGCAACTCTTACAGCTGTTAGACAACCTTCTTTATGAACCACAGTTGTGAGCCGTTTCATTATTTGTGGATTATTTACGTGTTTGACTGGGTGCGATGTTCACTCTGTAAATGTGTAAGCTATAGATGTACAATGTGTGTGTGTGTGTACATGTCATGCTGTGTGTGTCACTCGACGCTGTGAACAGCATTGCACTCGATATGTTCCTTTTTAAGGGAGTTTCTAGGTGAAATATTGTCTTGAATTAAGTTTCTAAATTCTGTACATTATCAGAGCACATGTGCACGATTTGTGAAAAAGCTCGGTCATGTTAAATAAAAAAGTGATTTGTTGCTGAAACGATCAATGAGGCGGTGCTCATTTCCCATTCATGGCCCTGAGCCAGCAGTGGAAATTCCACATTCCTATGGTGGGGGAAAATCCACCTGGGGGAAAGCCACTGTCGACTCCTCCACGAAGTGGTATGCATTTTATTGACCGTCAACCAGGATTTGAATTCGCGACCTTCCAGTTATGAGCCTCTCACTCAACTGCTGAGGCACCTGGCCGGTTATAACATCCATGAGGTTTTGAAGTCTTAGTTGGTGGCTGATCTTCCGCCATCGTGGTCGATGCGTAACTTTGGTCCCGAATGGATTTGTCAACGCATTCAACGGACCGTGACACAGGAGCTGGAGCTCATCGCGTACTTGTTTTTCCCGATTACAGCCACTCCGCTACACGTGCGACGCAGCAGCGACCCTGCGCTGGCTGGATCCGCGTCGGAACTGGTCCAGCCCGGCCTTACGGTCGTAGGTGACGGTGGCCGCAGGCCCCAGACGCACTGGTCCACCACGAACCTGCACCAGCCGGCCGAGCCACCTCCCACGCAGAACGTACGTGAGCAAGCGGCGAGTCCCGTCCCTGCGCGATCGTTTCTCACCGCTGCGTGGGCTGTGCGTCTCACTTTGTTCGAGAATTTGCAGTCTCTCAACCTCGTGTGTTGTTTAAATACACGGTTTTCGCACCCACAATCACATCCGCTCCATTCACATTTAGTACGTTCACATCCACTACTTTTACGATCACAAATGCATTCGCTACATTCACGTGATTCTGGTAATGAGTTAACGATCTCAGTTATAGCACTGAGGTGCAGTGGTTATGGACGGGTCCATTAGAACTGAGTTATGCTTTGTGACCTTTAAGAAAAGCAACAGGAAAGTATTTTTTTTCCAATAAAACAACGGAAAAGCAAGATGGTCCTGAAAACGATGAGACGTCGCGTCCATCGACAATCGCAGCGGACGCCACATTGTGAGGTGCAGCCACGCATGTTGTAGTGCAGGATCAGTGAGGCCTGCAGAGTGAAACTTGCAGGTTAAGGGCAAAATGTATTCTACAGGGTGAGTGCAGGGTGAATCCTATGGGCTGCATCTAGCAGAGTGTGCTCAGTGTACTTACGGGCTGCGTGTGGTGCAGTGTAGGAACACGGACCCTGCAGGGTGTGGTGCAGCCCTCTGGCCGCGCTGTCTGTGGCTGGGTGTGTGCCGTTTTATTTTGAATGAAGAGGGTCAAGCAGTCGTGTCTCTGATGTGGCTCTCACTCCGGACGATGCGTGCGATACGATGGGGAGAGCAGCTCAGTGTGACCCCGGCGGTTTGAATGGATACGGGGTGCTACCAGGCAGCTGCCCACGTGCACAATGTGCCCCTTCGTAAAAGGTAGTTGGTTTCCATGTGAATTTAATTCTGAAGATGGTACAATCGGAAATGTACGTTCATTTTATCTAACACATGGCGCAGCTGTTTCTTGAAGGCATCTGTATGACTTGCAAGTTAACTTGCTTGTGCCATAAAGTACTTCTGTAATAATTTTAACGCTCTACATTAACACATTCCCACTTCGGTTAACCTATATTGCATGCATATGCAAATGCAATGTTTTATTTATCACGTAGGATTTCGCAACCAATTTTATTTATAATAAAGGTTTTTGGGTTAGATCGTGTAAGTATAAATGTGTCGAAACCCTTCACCACCCGACAAGGGCAATCAGTAAGGGATTTGTCACGTAAACAAAACGCCCAATAGTTACTACTTCAGCCCACCGGTGTGTTGAAGAGTGAATCCACGACATTTACAATTGGAGTAGTACATCCAGCATCATCGGGCGATTTGCCAGAATAGTGGTCCGTGGGGCCAGAAGGGTTGGGAACTGCTGGTCTAAACTATAATGGTTGTCTGCTTGTTTGGAAAAATTAATGCACGATTTGCTTCATAAAAACATGTTCTGTTTTATTAACCGCACTTACCAACTAATTGCGCTGCTTTTGTTAAAACTGTTTGCCGAGCTATCCCAGCAGTGGGCCCTGCCTCTCTAACCCCTTTGTCATGGATTCATCGGTCTGTGCCCGTTTGGGGGTGGCTGCATGCAGAGCACGGGTGGAGGGAGTGAAGGGGGATTGGGGCCCATGGGGGAGGGGCACCTGCCGGGGTTCCAGCGGGATCTGTCGCGTTCCTCGGTGGGCCTCACGCACCCCATCGTGGAGAAGTGGCTGGAGAGGCAGGAGGTAACCTCCGCCCCCTGCCACTCACAGCCCAGCTTAAGCGTGCACACCAGGGCGTGCGTTTCCGCCTTGCCACAGTGTCCTGGTTCGATGTAATCTACAACAAAATAATCACCAGTGTCCTTGTGGAGACTATTAGCAGACAACAACACACCTCCTTTCCACATCCGTCCCTCTGCTTAAACATTTAAAACAGTTTCTTAAACATTCTATCAGCCACATGGGCTTGGTTAAACAACTGGGCAGTTCACGAGCATTGGTGCGAGCAAGCCTGACTCTGCTGAGGAGACACTGATATGTCGGAACTGGTCCTGAGTTTTCTTTTATTGAACCGATGTTGCTTGAATGAAGCAATTTACGACATAATGGAAACAGATGTTCCGGGAAGAGCACAAAACTTGGTGGGGCAGCGTGTGTTTACGCTCAGGAACGGCAAGACAGCTGTAAAATCTGTTAATTGTGGAGTCACTGTATTTTGGCTGCCAGTCTCGATTTCAATGTTTTCCAGGTTTATCTTGTATTTGTCTTTGTAGTGAAGATTCAGTAGTTTTTCTTAAGCGTTTTGCTCAGTATTTTTTGTACCAAAAATGATGACAAGCACCTCAGCTATTTTTTAGAGCATGTTTAAAGGTCAAACCTCACCTGTAGCTTTGTCTAGCAATGTAAAAACAGTGTAATGAGCAGGGTTGAATTAAATCCTTGATTATGTTTGTTCACGTAGAGCTATTAATGCTTCTCTTCCTAAAATAGACTACTCAAAGTAGTTATTGGACAAGTTAAATAACGATTGTTTTTTATATTTGGACTCAGGCACTTATACATGTTGAAATGTGTCAGGATAATCTCCATGAACCTGGGGGTTTGCTTTGACTGTAAAGTATGGGGCCGTTTTTTAGGTCAATGTAGCAAGTGGAAGTGATGTATTGGAAAGTTTAATCTGTTGCCCAGAAAAATCTATAGAGAATTTAAGGGAGACCGGTTTTAAGTTGTCTGGCTCTGAAAACAGCCTCGAAGCACAACATATCGCATTGTAAAATCCGTTGTAAGGCAGTGCACTGTATTTGTACTCACACTTGTTGGTGATCGCAGCTCACCAAACCTTTAGTACTGTGTGTGATGGGAGTTTTACAGCAGAAGGGAAGCGTCAGTGTTAAGTTTGTTTTGAATAACCCAGTGAGGACTCAAGAGACCAGGATAGGAGTGTCATTTCCTAGAGTGACCTGGGTGACCAAAATAACAAAAGCAATAACAAAACACGATGTGGAGCAATGAAGCAAATAAAAATCGGAGCAAAACCAACCAGAAATAAAACGGTGCACAAACACAAATCAGTATTAAATAAAATACATTTCCTCAGACAAAAGTTGGCTTGAACAAATTACTTTTGAAAACCTTTCATAGTAAAATTAAGTCATGGAAAAATTCTAAAAGATTAATGGTGATAATTGGACTGGGATGTAAACAGATAATAATGTGTGTAGAATACAATTTCATGTCAGGTTTTCATAGACAATGGACAGCTTAACAACAGATGGATGATGTAGAGTGTTAACCGGTCAGTCCACCAGTTTCTTTCCCCACTACAACGGTTGTTTTTCTATTTTTAATCAGAGTTGATAAGTGCAGTGCCTATTTAGTTGACTGTCTAGTTGGTGAATTATGACACTCTTTCTGTCGGTGGTAACGCATCAATCTCCGAGTGTTTGTGCTGCTGTCTGGTATCTCACGTCCGGCGTAGATAGTGTTTCCATCGTCGGAAGCAAGGCTCATAACATCTGGCTGGTTTCCCTTTTGGTTCTGCTGTTTGTCTTTCCTCCCAGGCCGTGGAGAATGGGGAAAAGGAAGAGGGCGGTGGCCACAAACGGGATGAGATCGTCAAACCCACGTCCCGCGCGGCCACCCCCCATCCCAGGTGGGGGCACCGTGAGCCCTGGCGGGACAATCTGAGCGAGCAATGCCAATGAGTCCGTACCGCAAAGCCCGGCTCGCTGGACTATTAGGGGGGGCCCTGGTTTGGCCAGCTGAAAAGTCCGGCTTGCTGAAATTTCAATATAATATCGTAATAATAATAATTTTATATAGCGTCATTCATGCAATTGCATCCCACAACGCTGCACATAAATTATCCAGTTCCGTACACAGATAATACAAAAACAAAATGTCTGTGAAAAAAGCAATGCACACGTGGATGTGTAATACATGTACACATGCACTATAAAGTCGATATGTACAGTATATGTAATGTGTTAGTAGTTTCGCGGTTAGCACTACGCTGCACTGCGACACTGGCAACCCGAGCTTGATTCCTGCTCACAGTGACGATTATCTGAATCGATCCAGGGGCTTCCCTGGGTCGACTCGGCCTCAAATGAGTACTTGGTGTGTTTGTAAATATTGCCACTAGGGAGACAAAGGTGGCCCGGGCGTGGTGCTGGCCGCCTACCCCCTCATGTACAGTGCTAGCCTTCATAGGTGCTTGCTAAAGGCACTTCCCCCAAAATAATGTTGAGGCTATACGGGGGATATTTGTCTTTATTTTGTCTTTGTCCGTGCACAGACCAAAACTTTAAAAGTACTTTGCAGTATGCGTGGTGCAATAGAAATATGTCTGTGGGGGGGGGGGGGGGGGGGTATGCCAATACCTGAATCCCTATCCTTCCCTCCCATCTCATATTTTACACATCGTACAAAATGTTGGTCCACTGATTTTTTTTATACATGTTGTACTACCTAACTTATAAAGTATAGGATATGAATTGTTTTATTCTATTTTAAATAATCTTTATTTTAAATCAATTACAAATATGTTTTAATCGCTTGACCAGGTCCAGCTGTATGCTAATTTCGTGTAGCCAGGTTCCGGCTAGCCGCGGTTTGAGAGTAGTTCAGAATTTTAGGGAGCGTGTTTCACATTGTTCTCGGCCGAGCGTCCTAACGCAGCATTGCCGCTGTGCCTGAGAGACCGCGTGCGATCGTGCATTGGCAGGGACTTCAAGAAGCTGGTGGAGGTGGTGAACGACGGGGGCCCGCTTGGCATCCACGTGGTTCCCTTTCTCACCAAGAGCGGGAGGTAAAGCGGGAGAGGGGCGACGATGTGCGCCCGCGTGGGCGGGCGTGCGGACGGACTCGTCTGAACATATCGTGCGTGTGAACATACTTAGGGACTCAGAAACTCTGCATTTGCAGGGTGGCGTCCACACTTGTGAGAGATATTCTAAATGAGACTCAAATAAATTGTCATCAAATCTTCATTTGAAATAAATCAAGACCCTAGAATGGTCTCTTTCAAGAGAGACAGGTGACAAAGACGATGCAGAATGTGTGGTAATTATCAAGCAACGGTACACAGAGTAAACTTTTAGAAGAAGAAAAAAGGCAAAATTATACGTATCAAACGAAAGCAATTTAGCAATTTAACGTTTAAAATATAACCTAATAGTTTAAAAGTAGTAAAATGAGGTTGTCAGCAATGATGACGCTGGCCATTAACCACCGAGTGGGAGGCATCGGTTGTGAAGCACAGCACGTCCGGGGGGATTGTGGCAAGAGCAGCAATTCCCTGACTGAACGGGTGGATGCTTTGGCAACCAATAGGATTCATTTTCGATGTTTGGATCAGATCACTAAAGTAAAATGTGTGTCGTAAACCCTCCTCCACCCAACACAGACAATAAATAAAGTTGTCACATGATGAAAAAAGGTGCTAGTTTATTACTGCGTCAACAGAGTAATAAACTCCGTGAATAGGAATGAAACATGTGGAGAGGCCATATATTCAGGAATATATATTTATGATCTTAGATATGTCCTGTTCAGATGCATCCTCACAGGCATAATAAAAAATAATCACGAGTGTCGTGGAGGATTTTACAAAATAAACAAGCAGACAAAGCCTGCTTCCTACATCGACCTCCTACACCTCCCATCAGCCATACAACCTGGGTGCATAATGTCAGCAGCATTTGTACAATGCAAACACAACTGGACCGTTTTTGACATTCTGCATTTCGTCGGCGGTCAGGCGCACTTGAACCGATGCTCCTCAACTGCCATATGTTATACGTAAGGGCTGTATTAGATATGGTCCTTAGTTCAATACAAAACGATATAAGACACAACACAGAATAATCATAATTGTCATTGTGGATGATGCACTTGACAAAATAAATAAGCAGACAATACAATGCCTTGTGTAAGAGTGAGTCGGTCACAGTCCCTGCTGCTGCTGCTGCTGCTGCTGCCACGCCGCTGTGTGTCGCGTGCAACCGAGCAGGAGCCTGGGCCTGCGGATTCGCACCATCGAGGAAGGCAGCAGGACCCAGCGCGAGGGGGCGCTGCGCCAGCACGACTGCATCACGCGCATCAATGGCACACGCCTCACCGACACCTCCTTTGAGGAGTGAGTCGCCCGATGTGATTTCCCCTTGGACCTGGAGTTTTGACATCGCTGACTGTCGCATGGACACATCTTGTGATGCCATTTAGATCACAGTGATAGTGTACCCGCCACAGTAATTAGTGTTTAAACAAAGCTTTTGAGCATAGACTCAAAGGCTGAAAACGTGAAGTGGCTAGCAAGAAACAGCACTTTAAAACTTGTAATAGGTAAGAGTCAACCCCATCTCTTGGTAAGAGCTTGGGAGAAGGGACGATAGTAGGGATTATACATTCGAGCGGTGCGAGGGAAGAAGTAGGATGAGAAAAATGTGGATGGTGACCTCCAGTGTTGTGAGTGAGTGGATGAGTGAGAAATCTAAGTTAGTGGGTGAATGCGAAATTGAGTGAGTGGGTAAGTGAGTGAATAGGTGAGTGATTGCGTTGTTGTGTCCTGCCGTGTGGATGAGATGTAACAGTCAGTCTGGTACCAAATCCTCAACTTGGGAATTAACGAGTGAAGTTCACAAGAACAGGAACCATGGTAATAGCGATAAAAGAGTGATTACCAGGTGACTGAGTGCCGGTGAGAGAGCGACTGGAGTAAATCGACTTGACTGCTTTGCATTGAATTTAACTTCTATACCTGAATGTGCCCCACGTGGGTGCTGAAAACTGGAGCCTCAATCTTCAAGTTTGTTCAGTAATTAACCTGTGCTAATTTTGTAATTAACGATCGCTGCTAATTAATAGATTTGCCTTGGATAAGGCTGTCTCCGACTTTGGAACCTGTGCGGTGCTTGGGAACGTGTATGATTACATCTTTAAAAAACACAAATTCCTTCCCATTTGGCAGTAGAGATGTACAGTGGTGAATCAGGCATAAACAGTCCCTGACTGGGCAGATTGCGAGGAAGTGTGTGTATGGAGCTTGGGGTTGTATGTGAACCCTGTCTCAGTGCGGGTTTATTTGAGGTTTGAATGACAGAATCGGGAAGCATTTTGCTCATTTCGTCTTCAGGAAATAGTTATGTAAAATTATGAATATTGCAGAAAATTGAGTAGCTGAAAGGGGACTTCTCGCGTCAGCGTGTTGGCGTGTGCAGTTCTGCCATCAGGGACTGCAAGACGTTTAGGAATACTGTGCGGCTCCTCTGGACGCACAGAATGCGCGCCGGGCTGCCAGATGACGAAACGCAAACCGACAGCACGGGTTTGAATAAAGAATTAGATTGACTAGCCAGCCAGTCTTCAGGGTGCCTTTTAATGCCAAAATAATATTCCCCTCACCAAACTTAATTCTAAATTTCGTTAAGACCCTGCGGTTGTGCAGTGTGGACAAATAGCTAATCGGAGGTGCAATACTTAATCATCAGCCATGATCAATCCACTGCTGGATGAAGGCCTCCCCAAACCACTGCCACCTCTCACAGCTCTGCGATGCGACGATCCACCCGGCACTTGCACACAAAGTAACTTCATCACTCCACCTCCTCGGTGTACGTCTTCTCGGACGTATTCCATTCCTTGGCTTCTACTCCGTTGCTGTCCTTCGATCATCCCCTTGCGCAACGGCTCCTGCCCAAGGCTACTCACTTTTCTTGGTAGTTTGGATGATGTCATTAATATGCGTATGTTTTATCTTCATTGCTTTGCTCATTTTTCAGATTTTGTTCTATATGTTTCGGTAATTACCTTGATTCTATACCATGTGTCATAAGCATTATATGGGATGATGATTGAAAACGTTCTTTGACGCACATCGCTATGTTGCTTTTAATGATCAAGTTCAGCTTTCCAAAAACACACCAACCTGCCCTCGTCCGCCTCTCTGTTTCACATTTGATTTCCGTCGCCTTAAGGAGCCGTTGCCGGCGCATGTGGCACGGCTACAGGAGGCAAAGCGCAACCACAGAGATTATATAAAATATCCATGTATGGGGTTCTGTGCGCAGGTCACAAAAGGCTTTTCGCGATGCCCTAAAGAGCAGCGTTCTGCGACTGTGGGTCGTTCACGGGGAGAAGCGAGAACACTACGAGCAGGTGATGCAGTTGTGGGGCAACCAGGAGTCCGAGCAGATCGATTCCGACTCGGCCGAGGACATTGATGAAGATTATGAGGACGAGGGCCCACCGTCCTTCAAGGTGCCCCCGCCAGTGGCGCCAAAACCCACCACGAAACCAGTGGCAGGGCTAAGCGGCAGGAAGCAGGAACCGCCTTCAGGTGCCGGTGTCAATGCCAAGGTCACCCCCAAGTCTCTCCTCATTGCACCTGCGCGGAGGATGCCGGTGAGACTGCCCCTTCACATGGAGCTTAACAACCTCTTTGCCATGTAGGTGTCAAGTAGCTCAGAGCTGTGCCAATTAGGCCTCCCACTAGGATGTTTGACTGCACGGTGCCTCCTACTTGACTCGTAATGGATTATGCCATGACGGGTTATTCATTAAGCTTCCACTGGTTCTGTCAACCTCTTTTAATGTTGAAATGTCATTTTTTTCATTTAAAATTATTTTATTTTATATCAATGTCGTAATAATCTATTTGGGTGCTTTTGTAGGTTATATATAACCGGTCAAAGGTCATGCTGTGGGGTCAGAGACAGCAATACACACACGTTTCTGTACACCGTATATGAACACGCTCTTGTACCTCTGCTTTACTGATGCTCACCTGGCCGGTTTGACTTGACAATGTTACAACATGTTTACAATTCAGCATCAGTGACATGCATTGTTGTGTTAATATTTGAATACCCTTTGGGACAATGTACTCGCAAATTAAAATATGATAGGAATTTGAACTCCATGTAGTTTACATACGTGCCTATCCAACTGAATACCATGCCCACTCATTTGATAAAGAAAATTGTTTAAACCATTTCTAAAGGGCAGTGACGTGGCCAGCGATCGCGTGTTAGCCACTTGTTGCAGAGGTGGACAGTTCAAGCCCAGCAGCCGTCCTGGTTTATACTGTTGGTTTATAAATGAGAAAATACACACCATGTGCTAAGAGTGGATTTTAAAGATCCTCTGACGTCATTTGAAGAAGAGTAAGGCATTGTGTTGTTGGCATCATGGTCCAAGTTTGAAAATTTAGTCCGCAAATCACTCAATTCGTAAACATAGTGATTGTTGCCTCCTGTGAAAATTTTGCAGGACCCTCCTGAAAATGAGTTGAAACTGTGAGGCTTTCCTGGCTAAACAAGTGTAAAAATGCCTTTCTGTAATGATGCCTGTCTCGGCCTTGCAATCACGTCACCCCAGATACCGGCAGCTTTCCTGGCGGCGACAGACGCAAATTCTGGAACGGCTTCCTCTGCTCAGCCAATCCCAGCTGAGACCCAGCAGCATAAGCCACCAGCACAGGTGCCCAGGAAAATCCCAGGCCCTAGATCCGCGACTGGGTCAACGTTCGGTGGTGACACTACGTCGGCACAGCTGGCGTCTCCCACGAAAGCCCCAGTGAAGGCCGACCTAAAGCTACAGCAGGCGACGGCAGCAGTGGCAGCGGCTGTGTCGGCCGCCGTTGCGAGTCGCATCCCCATGGCCAGCTCCAGCATGGCTGCTCCTGTGGCCACGCCCAACGTCGCCTATACCACAAAGAAGGTGGATAAGAAGATTCCTATTCACTTGAAGAAAGGTGAGGCCCTCCTGGTATGGTGTGGGTGCAAGTTGTGGTGGTGCACACAGTGATGTCACGAGAAGTTCACGGTCAGGGCAGTGCTCGTCACAAACTGCTCCTGTTTATTGTTATTCATCTGCGAGTGATATTCATTACTATGAGCAAAACATCTCATGATTGTGTCCCACTTATCAGTATAATTTACATATCAAATGCTTTTTCAAGCATATTGCTCTCCTGACAAGTCTAGCCATCTCCTCAATGCTGCTAAACTCGTGCCCTGACACCCTCAACCACAGGGTGAACACACGGCCACGTATATCCACAGTACACAGTATATGAACATGTTAGTTCATATACTGCAGATGTCTCCATTTGCTCACTCGGCCACCAAGATGGAGGCTTGAGAGCCAGGAGTGGATCGTGCAAGAGCTGATGAGGCTCAGCCCAGAATCCCAGAATGTGTTGCCCAGCTTCCGCTGATTGTGTGAGAGCCTGAGGCTGGCTGATATCTGCTGACTTGCCTAATGAGCCCTCATGCCTCCGAGCGGCCACTGTAGAGCATCAATGTAATGTAATTCGTTTGTCAAAGTGATTTTGTTTCCAAAATGGAATTATACATTCTTGTCAGGAGAAATTTTTGGGCACATTATCTATTACAATGTTAGTTTGCGTGAGCATTAATAAGCAATGAAAATAGACTTAAAGCTTTCGTGACTGCAGGAATTCATATTATTTGGGTCTTTCGGTAAAGCCACGTGGAGAGAAAAATAATAAAAATAATAACAATATCACGACGTTTCGATTGCAACACAAGCAATCGTCATCAGGTGAAACATATAGCGGGAGAGCTGCTGAGGCAGGAAAAAATATATGGCGGAATCGCTGCTAAGGCAGGGAGTTATAAAGGTTTGAGATGGGTGTAGCCCAAGGGTCAGTGGGTGGGGCTAAAGATGAAATTTGCATGTAAATGTAAGATCGGAGAAATCTTGACAAATGAAGCTGTTGGGGTGGCCATTGTATTGTGAGAGATTAGGATGTCAATGTAAGAAATTTGCTTGTAAATGTAAGCTCGGAGAGAGCTCGTTAAAGAGCCATCGCCACCTGGAGATGGAAAAGGATGGCAAACCGCCATTTACTAACACAGCTAACGGTGGCTGTGTCAGTGAATGTAACTCAGAGAGTCGAAAATAACTGCTAACATAGGTAGGTAGGAAGGGAACAACACAGTCAGTTATGACCAACACTGGTTAATAACGTCCTTCCAATGATTGCTCAGTTTGTACCCATCTTCTCGGTTGAAATTGTGTCTGTGTTTATATATCTGGATGGCTTCATGAATGCATCTTTGCTGATCGCCAGTAGGTTTGCAGAGTACCTTCGTTTTGGCAAAATCTATTTTGTGTGTAACCACAGTGTTAAAATAATGATCAGCCACGGCTGAGGTGTTGGTCCTACCGTGTTTCAGATCTACCTTATGTTCACGAACCCGGTTCGAGACATGTCGTTTAGTTTCCCCAATGTAACTGCTGCCACAGACACCGCTTAGTTTGTAGACACCGGGGTGTTGCATGTCAGGGATCACATCCTGCACAGATGGGATCAAATCACACATTTTATGTACTGTGTTGAATCGTACCTGGATCTTGTGTTTGCTCATGATTTTGGAAATATTTTTGGTAACCCTTGCTATATTCGTAGGTTTTTTCGGTAAAGTCACGTAGGTAAAACATTAAAAACCTAAGAATATGAATCCTTGCAGTCACGAATGCTTCAAATCTAGAACCCTTGCTATGTATAGCAAGGTCATGGTTTTGATTGGGTCCTCGGATGTTTCTTTCCCAACGGTTGGGGTGGGAAAATATGGTTGTCGCCTGATGAAGCTAGTTGTAATTACTGGCAAAACGTCGTACTCAGATTGTAAATGTTGTGGCTTGGCTCTCCAACACACCGGTTAGTGCTGTGCTGGTGTAGTGGCTTCCACGGAGACACACACTGGAACTTGGAGGCAACACGTTTATTACAACACCCTGACAGGGTAACTACATAAACATACGGGATAACGACATAGGTGGTAGCTAACTTTCACGAGCGACTAAACCGCAACGGGCGATTATATAACCGGGTCCGGTCAGTAACGTCCTGCTTGGCCCACGATGCCGAGCGTGACGACCGAAGATCGAGGAGACGTAGCACGGCGGGTTGATTCCAGAACACAGCCCGGATCGGCGCTCGGGATTTCCCTTTTATGCCCCTGAGCGTGGCCTGGCTCTGCCCTAGGCCACGCCCCCTTCTAGATCCTACTAGAAGGTTCTGGGCCTTACGTCACGTGTCCCTCTCGCCACCCCTTGGCCCCCCTCGCTACCCTCTCCTGGTCACGTGCCCTCTCGGGTTCACCCAGACTGTCATGTCCTGAAGTGCCCTCTCTGGCCGTCACCAGAAGCAGGCCCCCTTCGGCCCGCTTCTATGCCATACACGCTCTGGTGCCAGAGAGAGACGCTCACATGCACAGTACCACTCTTGTTCCAATAGATGGCGCTAGACGCCATAGTGACTGAATATACGTCACTATACTAGTGTAGTGAGCGACTTCTGAGACACGTCGAGTAGAAGACTTCTTATTTATTAAGAGCACATGGGGCAATACACTTCATAACGCAGCTACAAATAGGCGATCCTAACACGAAGCCCATCTCCGTCATACACCACGCTAGCTGTTCGACTAGCGTAGCGGCGGCGACGGAGATGGTCTTGCAGAAGAACAGTCACGTGGTCAAAGACGAAGAGATGACGACAAGCAGCGACGCAGCCAGAACCCGCAGAACAACCCCGAACCTCTGGTTCGGTCCACCTTATATCTGCCCGGCACGGCCAAGCTCCACCTCTGGCCACGCCCCCTTTCCAGAACCTTCGGGCTGGTTCCTGGAGCTTCTCGACTGACTCCCCCCTTCACCTTTACCCCAGATACACCCCCCTTATAATAAGGCATTATGTAATGCAGCCATAACCCCTACAGGCTGGCAAGTGTCACCCTGTCATTACACTAGTAACGAATTGGCATGTTCTGTTTACGTGACAAACCTTACTAGTTGGCAGTGTCGGGTGTTGGCGGGTTTAACAACACATTTATATATACTCTTTGGTTCTTTCGGGAAAGTCACGTAGGTATAAAATAAAACAAATCACGACGTTTCGGGCACAACACAAGCGTCTGTCATCAGGTGGGAAAGCATGGTCTGCTGCTGAGTCAGACTGTTTTAAAATGTTTGAAATGTGTGTAGCTCAAGGGTTATAAAGAAGTGGCTGGGGCTAGTGATGTTAATGTGAGAAACGTCGTGATTTTATTTCATTTCTAACTATGTGACTTTACCGAAAGAACCAAAGAGTATGGATTCCTGCAGTCACGAAAGCCTCAAATCAACATTTATATATTTACGCGATCTAGCCCAAAAAGCCTGTAATATGTGTTGTCATTGTCTCAGATAAAATGCATTGTAGTGATTGTGTAGGTTAGATGGTGTGAGGAAGCGTACTTGGATTATTGCTATTGCCGGTGTCGCTTGAGGAATTGCTCCCAGGTGTAATGCCAGCATTTGTGCCAAAGCCACTTCCTCTGTCGAAATTTAGTTGCTATTGAAGAAACGACCACCACATGCACCCCACAGTGCCTCTCTCCAGTGTTGCCGCTTGTTTGAAGTGGAGAGACGAAGTACTACGAAAGCACTTGCAAGTGGCAACATCACCCCTCGCACTTTCCAGTTTTTTCGCCAGCCAGCCCAGGCCTCCCGGCATACTGGAGCTGGCTTCTCATTATTGCTGGGGACGTCGAATTGAATCCAGGCCCGTTTTTCCCTTGTGGCAGCTGCTTCAAGAACGTCAATGCAAACTTTATTCAATGCAACGGTTGTAAAGCTTGGTACCACAAACGCTGCACTACTTTAGCCCGCATCCCCAGTTCAAATTCCAGCTGGTTCTACAAATGTTGTACATCATCCACTCCAACAACTCCACCTTGCACAACCACACTAGCACCACCACCTCATCCATCGCAACCACCGTTTCAACCACAACAAAAATCCTTCAACTAAACATCAGCGGCATCAACAACACATCTCTTGAACTCAGCACCTTCCTACAACAAAACTCCATTTAAATATATCCGCCCATCCAATAAACTAAATTTAAATCCCCTTCTCGCCCCGCCCAACTTTGAAAATTTCACTTTCCTCCGTCGAGACCGACCAACAGCTGGTGGCGGTCTAGCTTTCCTCATTTATAACAGCATTCAATTTTAAGAAATTGAAATCCCAAATCCTCCTTCTGATATCACCACAGAAGTCTTTAGCATCCGTATCAAATCCCATCTAGGCCCGCTCACTATAATCAACGTCTACATCTCACCGAACAGTTCTTGCCCTACTATCAGTTCAATATAAATCGACTTTTACCAAACAACGACTCAACTGTTATTGGAGTTTTCAACGCCCACAACAAACTTTGGCACTCTTCCCTTTCAAATGCACGTGGCGACCTCATTGCCGATATCTTGAACGGCTCCCCCTATGGGGTACTCAATGAAAAGAATCAAAACAGAGTTCCCTCACCTGGCCCTTCATGCTCACCAGATATCTGAATAGCGTCAAGAAACCGCCTTTCATCAACCAACTGGCAAGTCCTTACGGCCCTTGGATCCGACCACCTACCTATTGTGTTGACCCTCAATGCTGCAAAGCCTTCACAAACTTCTAAAAACCGCTTGTATTGCAACTTAAAAAAGCCTACTGGCCACTTTTTACTTCAAAATCAGAAGCATTATTCGCCAACAACATCAACCATATCCACACATCCGCACATAACTCTGAAAAGATTTTCAGAAACATCATCGCAACTAAGACCAAGCACACCATCCTGGCGGGTTGCTACAAGCAACACCTTCCCTGCCTCACTAAAGAAGCCTCAATGCTAATAAACTAACGAAACACTATTAGGACTAAAAATCCTACATCACCACAAATCCCAGCCTTCAATATTGAAATCACAAAGCTAATCAATAAAGCCAAAACAGAACGCTGGCACGAGTTTGTTGAATCTTTTGACCACCGCCAAAACTCATCAACTTTGGAAGACCATCAAAGCCTTAGACGGACACTCCAAACCACCACCCAATTGTACAATCACTTTCAACAACAAATCCGTCATAAACAACAATAACATCACCAACCACTTGAACAAACTTTTCTCATCAGTCATCCCACACTCTTCCAATAAATCCACCCGTCAAAAAATCCGTCAAATCAAGGAACTACCTCTAAACAACGCCCCCCAATTTAGCCTTGAAGAGGTGAAACTAGCTATCAAAAAAGCCAAAAATTATTGCGCAATTGGCCCCGATGGCATAGCTATGCCCCACCTCAAACACTTCGGCCCCCTCGGCATCAAGTTTCTCGCCTTCACCATTAACGCCTCACTCCAGTGCAACCTCATTGCGGCCATCAGAAAAACATCGACAATCATCTCACTTCCAAAACCCGTCAAAGACCTAAATCAAGCAACGTCCTACAGGCCGATTTCCCTACTTTGCCCAACAATCAAGATTTTAGAAGCCCTCATCCTTCCAATCATCACCACCAACTTACCTCCATCATCTCACCAACATGGCTTTCGCCCTGCACACTCAACAACAACAGCTCTTCTCAACCTAACCACCCAAATTGCAAACGGTTTCAATGAGAAAAAGCCCCCATCCCGCACTATCGTTGCTTCCCTTCACCTTACAAAGGGTTTCGACACCGTTAACCACCTCACGCTCATCAACATTATCCAGGGTTCTACGCTACCATCAGGCCTTGTTTGCTAGCTTACAAATTACCTAAGGGGCTGCCCATCACGCACTCTCTTTCGTGATATTCAATCCTCCTCACGAAACATTCATGCAGGAGTACCACAAGGTTCCATAATATCCACAGCGCTGTTCAATGCCCACCTCCACGATCTACCAACTCCTCCAAAAGAAGTACAAGTAGTCAGCTATGCCGACGACATCACAGTTTACACTTCTAATCAAAATATCCCCAAAATGGAAAACTCCATCAACTCCTATCTAAAACGGCTCAGCACTTTCCTAGCCAATAGATTGCTTCAACTCTCAACATCCAAATCAACAGTCGCCCTTTTCACACATCATAATCAACAGCCAACGCCTCCCACTAGCAGAATTCTAGGTGTAAGCTTTGTCACCATGTTCAGCTTTGCTCAACACGGCAGAGACGTCCATACAAAAGTTAACAAACGAAATCACATCTTACGAGCTTTAGCTGGCACATCTTGGGGTCAACAAAAGGAGACTTTACTCCTAACCTACAAAGCCATTGGACGTCCCATCATCAATTATGCCATTCCCATTTGGTGCCCAAACCTCTACTCTACAGGTTACCAAAAGCTCCAAATCGCCCAAAACCAAGCACTTTGCCTAGCCACAGGATGCCACCTCATGGCACCAATTGACCATCTCCACCAAGAAACCAAAGTTCTTCCGATTCAAGAACATTGCAAGCTTCTCACCGATCAATATCTGGCTTCATGCCACTCGACAACACATCCTTGCACAAAGCTACTCAAAGCCCCTCCACCTGCTAGGAAAATGAAATCCACCTTGCTTTCCTTCAGCTCTGCCAACGTGCAATCTACTTTAAACGTTCTTCCACCAAATAGCACCATCAAATCAATGTTGAACCACTTGCACACTGCTGCCACCATGCACTGCCTGAACACCTACAAGCCCAATGTCGTGCTAGGGGGTTGGCCCCCACCCATCGCAGACGACGAAAAATCCCTGACCCGGGCAACTCGCACAAAACTGGCTCAACTCCGTTAAGTTTACTGCTCCATGCTAGCCGATTACTAAAATCGAATCGACCCAAACGCCCCAAACTGCTGCCCTCTCTGTGCCAAGCAACGCCAGAAGACGTCTCCCATTTTCTCAGTTGCTCAAAACGCGGACCAAAAAATTAAATCGATTGATCTCTGGCTAAACCCTTCCAAAGTGGCGACACAACGCCACCTATAAACAGAAAGTGCGAGGAAAACAACAACAACAACAACCCCACAGTACCTACCACACGCATTCCACCGTTTCAGCCACACACTTCTCTCTGCCTACAATACGCACACTCCACCAAGCCTACCACTCACACCCTCGCATACAACTGCCACGTGTATATCTCTAACCCTGCTTGACACAACCCCTAACCTCACCACACACAGTTTTGCATGTGTTTATCTGTTTATTTTGATCATATGGCTTTTTATCAAGATTGTGCCCCTAAACTTGCAGTTGAAAGGTAATTTGAGTTGTGTGGGAGTTTCCTCTCTCTGTGCCATTATTTTTTTGTATCTTTTTCAACCACCTGACGTGAGGTCAGCACGCCTGCTGGGTGCGAGTCGGCATCATGAGCACATTGCTGTCACTTTGTTCCTATTCCAAACGTTATTTATTCATCCGGCTGGGTGGCTCGGCGGTAGAGCAAGCGGCTCGCAATCGCAAGGTCGCGAGTTCATATCCTGGTTGGGGGTTGACTCAGCCCATCATCCATGTCGGGTAGAGGAAATAAGCAGTGATTCCCCCATGGAGAGAATTTCTACCTGCTGTGTGCTTGTGTTTAACGTGAAGTACCCCAGGACACTTGTGCTGTGCAGGTTGTGTGAGGGGTTGAGGATCGTTAGCGAGGTGATTGTGCTTGTTCTATTTGTAGTAGAGGTATTTTAGAACCAAGGCCCATTTAGTGCTTGCATCTAAACATCACTTACCTCTTTCCTGTGAGATGCCTAGCACAGAGATTCCCACAGTTTTCTGGGCCTGCGGACCATTGTAGCCAATCCGCCGACCACCATGCCCCAATAGCATACTTTTCTAAATTAAAATGGCTTTGAATCGTAGCATCTGCATCAGTTCTGCAGACAACTTCTACATCGCCTTGTGGACTGCCAGTGGTCTACCAATGGTCCCACCAGTGGTCTGCCAGTGGTTTGCAGACCACAGGTTTGGAACCGCAGGTATAAAGGAGGCCGTGAGCAGACAAACACACTCGCAGTTGGCTACTAACATAATCACCATGAGAACTGGCTGAGGTATGCTCTGCAGCGCCTGATGACACCTGTACAGAGGGGTTTCGGGCGTCTTCAGATTGCCTGTTTGGTTCTCCTGACCCCATTGGTAGATTTAGCGCTACTTTTTAAATCAAGACTAAAATGTTTCACCGTTGAAATGGAACATCTTGTTTGTGAAGGTGTCCATGGTTTCAATCGACACATACACAGCAACCACATTATGATACAACTCTACAGCTTATACAGTTGGCATTTATGCACCGAGCATCACGCTTAGTCAAACACACAAATGCATAACAATTAAACAGTGTACACCTCCGGTTCGTACGTAATGTGCTCTAGCTTTAAGTCAACTAATAACAACTAGACAACTATTTTTATTTTACCAGGTAAGGCCCACTGAGCTATATAGCTATTTTTCAGAAGCGACCTGGCCACAAATGATTGCTCAACAAAGTGGCTTATCACGTGGGAATTTATAGCAGCAGCCAAACACTCTAAACGCATATTTCTAAATGTGGAGGGAAAAACCGGAGGACCTGGAGAAAAATCCACGCGAGCATGGGGAGAACATGCAAACTCCCAATGTGCAGGCGTCAGGGTCTGGATCAAACCAACGACCTACTGTATACCAGGCGAGGTAGTTAACATCACACCTCCATGTTGTGCAATCGTGCACAGTAGATGTTGTGCAAGCATGTTTTGATTAAATATTCAAATATGTTGAAACTAGCGGCGTATGTTAGTGTCCGTGAGATCGTTCCACATTGAAGCAGCTTCATCCGTGTCTGAGCGAGAGTTTTGCCTGTTCGGGTTTTTACTCCAGGGACAGTGACACTGGTGCATTTTTGAGGCCACTGAGCAGAGTTACCGTTGGAGTCAAATGACAGCGGTCGAGTGAAGTACGGCGGTGGGGGCATTTAAACGCAGCTGTCCCATCTTTAATCTGCCCGCGCTTCAAGATTACCGTGCGTCCATTGCTACGACATGGCCATTTGTAACGAGGGTGGTGGCGGGCTGGTGCAGGTCTCGACGGGCTAGGCTTCACGATCGCGACACGCGACACGCCGGTGGGAGGCCGCACGCCGATCTACGTGAAGAGCATCATGCCCAAGGGCGCGGCACTGAGTGACGGCCGCCTCAAGTCTGGAGATCGGCTCCTGGAGGTGAGGGCTCCCATGCTTGTTCTCCTGAGAAACACGGCACTCGTTGGAGAGACACTCATGCTGTCCTGGTCAGTGTGTTGCAGGGTGGCTGCGAGGCAGGAGGGTCGCCCCTGCGCTGCCGCCACCCTGCAGCACACTGAACAGGCCAGCATGAGTTTCTCTCCAACGAGTGCCGTGTTTCTCAGGAGAACAAGTATGGGAGAAACACGGCACTCGTTGGAGAGACACTCGTGCTGTCCTGTTCAGTGTGCTGCAGGGTGGCGGCAGTGCAGGGGCGACCCTCCTGCCTCGCAGCCTTTCTGTGTGGATCGTGTATGTTCTCCCCCGGTTCTGTATGAGTTTCCTCCGGGTTCTCTAGTTTCCTGCTTTAGCTAAAATAATACAATGTCACTGCTGTTGGCAAAATATCCCAAATTACCTGCAAATTATTACAATTATTGACATTGTGCACAGACTCTTCATTCTTAGTGAGGCTTTCCTGCGTAAAGAAACATAATAATAAATACGTGTTCAACTCATAAATAACATTCACCTTAAAACACACAACATATATTGTTTCATACTCTTTGGGTCTTTCGGTAAAGTCACGTAGATAGAAAAATTATAAAAAATGACGACGTTTCGATCGCAACACAAGCAATCGTCTTCAGGTGAAAAAATACAGCAGATAAACTGCTGAGGCAGGAGAAATATAGCGAGAGAACTACTGCAGCAAGAGGTTATATAGGTTTTAGATGGGTACAACCCAAGGGTAAGTGGGCGGGGCTAGAGATGGAATTTACAAGTACCGTACCTCGGCCATTGTATTGCTCGAGATTAGAGATGAGCATGTCAAGTTGAGATGGCTCCTGCTGCGGGAGGGGTTGAGGCTAATTCTAATAACACAGTTGCTGAGTACAGGCTTAAAGGCCCAGAACGTCAAGTGGCCCGCAACAAAAAGCACTACAAACATAATAGACAAGGGGGTGTCACACATTTCTTGAATTCAGCAAGATTATAAGAGCTTTGGAATAATATTTGATCATCGCAGGGAAGTCCAAAGTGGAGCAGTGTGAGGGAAGATGATGCAGAAGAGAGGTGTTGTAGCCTGCAGTGTGGTAAGTGATTTGGGTGAGTGAGTGAGTGTGTTGCTGTGCCCTCGTGTGGTGGTTGAACACAGAGTGGATGAGATTAAACAGTTTGCTGGTAGAAACAGCCTGCGGATGCCTTTGTCTCCAGGCTCGTCGGCTTTTGTTTTCTGAGTTGGCCACACAGATGCTTCCTCCATGCGCCGCACTGACATCCTGTGTAAATCAGCGCTGTCGCACGAACCTTTCTGGGCTCCGGGATGTCCTGCGCTGACTCATCGCTGTGTGTCACACGTGCCACTTCAGATTACAGGATTTCCTCTGCTGAATCTGTGCTTTCAGTCAGAGTTGACTGTTTATATGTTTCAAGAAATAAAATAACGGTGTCGTAATAATGGGGCACGCAGTGACTCTTTATTGGGCTTTTGTAATTAATAAGACAATGAAAGACATTTATATTTTTGTCATGATAATCTACTCCCTGTTTTCTATTTACCTATCAACTGTGTGTTTGCTTTTCATGTATTTGTAAATAACAATTTTAATTTTAACATGTGGTGTTTCCGTCGTTGTTAAGCTGTCACGAGCGCGCTGTGCATACAGGTGGATATCGTCCCCCAGTAGGGAGCAACGCTCCTCCGTGTCATCCCACTTGAGTAGTTTGCAGTGTCAGTAACAAATTTCGCAAATTGTGATTGTGACACTGGAAACGAACCGTGAACCTCTATGACAAGCGGCACGCGCGCTATCGCCGGGTCGCGTCATTGCCTCATGTCACCATGAAACGTGATTGTCCTGGTTTAGAGACACAGACAGTTGTGAAAATGTCAAATGGCTGCGACACTTGGTTACAAAAGCACGAACTTACTCCTTAATCACTATTAGACGGCATTACAGGTTTAAAACGCTTACGAAGATTTCCTCGACAATGTCGCTTGTGTTTGCTGGTCAGGTGGCTCAGCGGTCGAGTGAGCGGGTTGTAAGTTAATATCCTGGTTGGGGATTGACTCAGCCCCTCGTCCTTCCGGTGTGGATTAAATATGTACCAATTTGTGGGAATTCAACAGGTGTTATCCTTGGAGAAATGTATAGGTTATATATTTAAAATCTTCATCTATTTGTCAATGGACACCCTGATGAAATGGAATTTACATTTGGGATATAAAAATTAAAAATAAATAAATAAATGCATCCTACCATAGGAATGTGGAATATCCATCACTGGCTCAGGACTGTAAACGGGAGATGATCACCGCCTCAGTGGGCTTAGTCCAACAAACAGCGAGCATGTGTACGGTCTGGCTCGTCCGCTGTTGTTTGTCAGATGTACGAGAAAGGCAATGGAATAGCAATGGTGAGCGAGTGTGGGTGAAGTGAGACGGCGTCTCCCCGCGTGCGTGGGGCAGGTGAACGGGCTGGACGTGACGAGTCGCACGCAGGAGGAGGTGGTGGCGATTCTGCGCAGCACCAAACTTGGCGGCTCCGTCGACTTGCTGGTCTCGCGCCACCACGACGTCCCCCTCTCCCCAGATGATCCGGTGCGTGTGGGATGTGTGGGGCATGAGGGGAGAGTGTGGGGGGGAGTGTGGGGAGAGGGGAGAGTGTGGGGGGAGGGGAGAGAGTGGGGGAGAGTGTGGGGAGAGGGGAGAGTGTGGGGGAGAGTGTGGGGCATGAGGGGAAACTGTGGGGGAGAGTGTGGGGGGAGGGGAGAGTGTGGGGGAGAGTGTGGGGAGAGGAGAGAGTGTGGGGGGAGGGGAGAGTGTGGGGGGAGGGGAGAGTGTGGGGGAGTGTGGGGAGAGGGGAAACTGTGGGGGAGAGTGTGGGGGGAGGGGAGAGTGTGGGGGAGAGTGTGGGGAGAGGGGAAACTGTGGGGGAGATTGTGGGGAGAGGGGAGAGTGTGGGGGGAGGGGAGAGTGTGGGGGAGAGTGTGGAGGGAGGGGAGAGTGTGGGGAGAGTGTGGGGGAGGGGAGAGTGTGGGGGGAGGGGAAGTGTGGGGGAGAGTGTGGAGGGAGGGGAGAGTGTGGGGAGAGTGTGGGGGGAGGGGAGAGTGTGGGGGGAGGGGAGAGTGTGGGGGAAAGTGTGGGGAGAGGGGAAACTGTGGGGGAGAGTGTGGGGAGAGGGGAGAGTGTGGGGGGAGGGGAGAGTGTGGGGGGAAGTGTGGGGAGAGGGGAAACTGTGGGGGAGAGTGTGGGAGGAGAGTGTGGGGGAAGGGGAGAGTGTGGGGGAGAGTGTGGGGGGAGGGGAGAGTGTGAGAGGAGAGTGTGGGGGAAGGGGGAGAGTGTGGGGGGAGTGTGGGGGGAGGGGAGAGTGTGAGAGGAGAGTGTGGGGGAAGGGGAGAGTGTGGGGGGAGAGTGTGGGGAGAGGGGAGAGTGTGGGAGGAGAGTGTGGGGGAGAGTGTGGGGGAGAGTGTGGGGGGAGAGTGTGGGGGAGAGTGTGGGGAGAGGGGAGAGTGGTGAGGAGATTGTGGGGGGAGGGAGAGTGTGTGGGGAGAGTGTGGGGGGAGGGGAGAGTGTGGGAGGAGAGTGTGGGGGGAGGGGAGAGTGTGGGGGGAGAGTGTGGGGAGAGGGGAGAGTGTGGGGGAGGTGGGGGGGAGGGGAGAGTGTGGGGGAGAGTGTGGGAAGGGGAGAGTGTGGGAGGAGAGGTGGGGAGAGGGGAGAGTGTGAGAGGAGAGTGTAGGGAGAGGGGAGAGTGTGGGGGGAGAGTGTGGGGGGAGGGGAGAGTGTGAGAGGAGAGTGGGGGGGGAGGGAGAGTGTGTGGGGAGAGGGGGGGAGAGGGAGAGTGTGGGAGGAGAGTGTGGGGAGAGGGGAGAGTGTGGGAGGAGAGTGTAGGGAGAGGGGAGAGTGTGGGGGGAGAGTGTGGGAAGATGGAAGTATTGTGGGGACTGTCGGGGACCGTGTCTCCATTTTCAATCCAAAACACCGCTTCCACCAAGGGTACAACCCTCCCGGCGATGTTGTTGTAACTGCCGGTCCCTTGTAGCACAGACTGGCATTAACCCTCCCGACGACTGCTCCCTCGCTCCCAGCTCCGCCGACCGCCCCTCCTGACCTCCACCGTGACGAGTGTGCGACCTGTGCCCCGCATCGGGCGAGACACGTACACTTGGACCCCTGGTCACCGGCGACGATTTATACTCAAAATGTTGAGCTCACTTGTTGAAAACAGGCCCAGAACGTCAAGTGGCCAGCAATAAATTCCACACCTTTCTTGAATTCGGGGAAGTTATTTACTTTTAAGAGCTTGGGGACAAGAAACGGTGGGAGAGAACTCAATGTTTGGGTGATGTGAGGGAAGGAGCAGAAAGAGAAGTGAGGTGACCGGCAGAATATTGAGTGAGATGAAAGAGTGGTAGACCGAGTCCTCAACATGGGTGGAGGAATCCACAAGTGAAGTTGCTGTTTTTGAGTACCTATTAACGTTGGCATGACACACGAGGGAGTGGTGTGCCCAGTACCATTCCTGGTTGCTTTTGTCTCCCTCGTAGTGATGTTCACACATTGCAACAAGTATTCTTTTATGGCTGAGTTGATCTAGGTTTGGTCCAGGACCGCTTCAGATAATCACCACTTAGGTGACTGGGTTTGTAGTGAAGTGGGAAAACCACTGCGCTTCCGCTTCACCTAAGAGACGCACAAACTCATGCAGACACACACTCGAACCGACACGCGCACGCTCGCGCAGATACGCTAGACATGCCAGACATGCAGGAGGCGGCTCGGCGTGTGGGATGTGACACGCTCGCACACGGCACACGGCACAGACGCGCTCGGCGCGGGGCACGACACGCAGACACGTGGGAGGCAACCGGCACGGCACGCAGGAAACGGGAGACACGCACGACACGAGGGACGCGGCGGGCACGACACGGCGCGCCCTGTCGCCAGCTCAGGTACGGCGCCGCTCTCCCACGGGGCTTGTTCTCGGTCTATTTTTTCTTGCCCCGCGTGGCTCTCCCACTCATTTAACCGTCCCTCCCAGAGAGATGCCAGATGCGGCTCGGTCGCTGCACAATGCGTTGTGGGCCAATCACAAGTGCGTGTGTTGTTGATGCAGTCTTCACACAGCAACGCGCGTGCGCCTATCTCTGTGTTGCCTCAAGAAAAGGACGTTTCTGTTGGCATTGGTGCACAGCCCAATAAACAACTCAACACGTTGGTCAATAAGCTTTGAGATATTCATAGGGAAACCTTTTAATAAGCGATGTTTTGTACAATATTCCTTTTTTCGTTTATGCTGTGAAGGACGATTGCCTGGAATGCCGCCTATTATATATTTTTCCTGTTAGAGCCAAAGTATAATTTATGACCGTAATGAGTTTTTGTTTTGTTTATAGTCTTCTAGGAATCCTCAGGCTTCTTTGACATCCCATTGTCTGGAACATGTGGTGATGTGTATATGTTGTTGTTGGGATTTCACACCACCTTATGCAATACACATTAAACACAGATGCCTGAGCACTGGCCCAATATGTAAAGTGGCCAGTAACAAACTGCCCTCTCAGAGTTGTATTTTATCGGGGTTCACACATTTTCTTAAGTGAGCAAGGATATTATAAGAGCTTGGAAAAAGAGACGATGGTAGGGAATTCGAAAGTGGAGCATTGCGAGGAAAGAACATTGTGGATGAGACAAAACCGATAGTGTCTGAGAGAGCGAGTCCTCAACACGGGTGACGTTTATGGAAATAAGCAATAACCACGGTCGTAGCAATAGCAGAGTGATCATAGGCACATCTACCAGCCTGGTGAAGTGTCCGATGCCTTATGGGCATGCAGAGTTTGTGTGAGTGTGACATGATGTGTGTGGATGTGTATGTGTGCTCACTTGCAATTAACATCCTATGACTGCAACAACACCCTCCTTGGTGTGTGAGGGGGCAGTGGTGGTGAGTGGGCAGTGGTGGTGAAGGGGCAGTGGTGGTGAGTGGGCAGTGGTGGTGAGGGGGCAGTGGTGGTGAAGGGGCAGTGGTGGTGAGTGGGCAGTGGTGGTGAAGGGGCAGTGGTGGTGAGTGGGCAGTGGTGGTGAGGGGGCAGTGGTGGTGAAGGAGCAGTGGTGGTGAGTGGGCAGTGGTGGTCAGGGGGCAGTGGTGGTGAAGGGGCAGTGGTGGTGAGGGGGCAGTGGTGGTGAGGGGGCAGTGATGGTGAGGGGCAGTGGTGGTGAGGGGGCAGTGGTGGTGAGGGGGCAGTGATGGTGAGGGGCAGTGGTGGTGAAGGAGCAGTGATGGTGAGGGGGCAGTGGTGGTGAGGGGGCAGTGGTGGTGAGGGGGCAGTGGTGGTGAGGGGGCAGTGGTGGTGAGGGGGCAGTGATGGTGAGGGGGCAGTGGTGGTGAGGGGGCAGTGGTGGTGAGGGAGCAGTGATGGTGAGGGGGCAGTGATGGTGAAGGGGCAGTGGTGGTGAGTGGGCAGTGGTGGTGAGGGGGCAGTGGTGGTGAGGGAGCAGTGATGGTGAGGGGGCAGTGGTGGTGAGGGGGCAGTGGTGGTGAGGGGGCAGTGGTGGTGAGTGGGCAGTGATGGTGAGTGGGCAGTGGTGGTGAGGGGGCAGTGGTGGTGAGGGGGCAGTGGTGGTGAGGGAGCAGTGATGGTGAGGGGGCAGTGGTGGTGAGGGGGCAGTGGTGGTGAGTGGGCAGTGGTGGTGAGGGGGCAGTGGTGGTGAGGGGGCAGTGGTGGTGAGGGGGCAGTGGTGGTGAAGGGGCAGTGGTGGTGAGTGGGCAGTGGTGGTGAGGGGGCAGTGGTGGTGAGGGAGCAGTGATGGTGAGGGGGCAGTGGTGGTGAGGGGGCAGTGGTGGTGAGGGGGCAGTGGTGGTGAGTGGGCAGTGATGGTGAGTGGGCAGTGGTGGTGAAGGGGCAGTGGTGGTGAGGGGGCAGTGGTGGTGAAGGGGGAGTGGTGGTGAGGGGGCAGTGGTGGTGAGGGAGCAGTGATGGTGAGAGAGCAGTGATGGTGAGGGGCAGTGGTGGTGAAAGGGCAGTGGTGGTGAGGGGGCAGTGGTGGTGAGGGGGCAGTGGAGGTGAGGGAGCAGTGATGGTGAGGGAGCAGTGATGGTGAGGGGCAGTGGTGGTGAGGGGGCAGTGGTGGTGAGGGGGCAGTGGTGGTGAGGGGGCAGTGGTGGTGAGGGGGCAGTGGTGGTGAGGGAGCAGAGATGGTGAGGGGGCAGTGGTGGTGAGGGGGCAGTGGTGGTGAGGGGCAGTGGTGGTGAGGGAGCAGTGATGGTGAGGGGGCAGTGGTGGTGAGGGGGCAGTGGTGGTGAGGGGGCAGTGGTGGTGAGGGGGCAGTGGTGGTGAGGGGGCAGTGATGTGTTTGGGGAAATTAATGAACTCTTAGCTACATCACATCCTAATAATTGGGAAGTCCAGTGCAATGGTATATTATAGCACACACACTCACTGGCAGATGGAGCTTTATTTCTAATTCACCATGAATGCCACTGAACAGACAGTTTCCCTTATTCTCAGAAATGTTAGTGATTTTAAACATAGGCGGGAGGTGTAGGGGTCGCCTCTGTAGATTTGTCTCCGTAATTACAGAACGCAGCCTCAAGCAAG